AAGAGACACATATGTTTGTACAAAAGCTCATGGATTTCTCCTTCTATTGGAAAATGGATTTTCCTCATTTCTAAAATAACCTAGAAGTTCAAATTTAAAATTTTGATCATTCCGAAAATTATAAAGAACATGGATTTCCCCGTTCTATAAAAAAAGACAAGAAAGTACAATGTTTATTACAAACCCCAAGAAGGCCAAACACAAAAAATAAAGCATCACAACACAAATTTATATAAAAGAGGATTTTATCTGTTAAAAAAACCCTAGAAGTTCAAATCTAAAAACTGGAATAGTTCGATGGTTATACAAAATTCAGATTTTCCTATTTATTAAAGAATGAAAACAAGAAGTTCATTTTTTTAAATAGAGCTGTACAAAATTCATAAAAATGGTTTTCACCGCTTCTTACAAAAAAACTCTAGAAGTTCATATTTAAATAACGGTCCAGTTCAATATTTATTAGAATACTAGGATTTTTCCGTTTCTACCAGGAAATAAACCAAGACGTCCAAATTACGAAAATAGAGAAGTTTGATATTTATAAAAAAACTCAGGTTTTCCTTGTAACTAAAGAATATAAATGACGAAGTTCAAACTAAAATAGAGGAGCAGTTCAATGTATACGGAAAACTCAAATTATTACCGTTTCTAAGAAAAATAAATAAACTTATGAAGCTCAATTTACAAAAAAAATGTTTGACGCTTATTTAAAAACATATTTCATTTCTAAGAATATGACTTAGGAGTTGAAATTAAAATAATAGATAAGTTCGAAGTATATAAAAAACTCAGATTTGTTGCAAGAAGTTCACGTGCACATCCGTGCACGGTTCAGAATTTATATTGTGGGACATCCAACCTCCAATTACATGTTTTAAATGGAAAAAATGATGTACGACCTTTAAGTGCACGTAATTCGACGTATACACAAAAATGTGACAGAAGTTAATAGTGAAAACAACGAGAAGTTCAAATGCTACAATGAATGCATTTCAGGTGAGAAATAAAAGTATAGAAAAATAAAATTTTAAAAGGTTTGTTGAAATAAGTTCAAGTGCCCTGTCCGGAGAAGTTCAAAAATTCCTACGAGAGAGGTTCACCTTGTATTTTCATGTTCGAAAACACACAAACAATGTTCTTTTTGCGTTTTAAAATAATTCTCTAAATCCACAAAGAAGTTCACTTATTATTTGGGAGCAATTTGATTTCAAAAAAGAAAAATAAAAAATTTAAATTATAAAATTGGAAAAGGTTCATGTACTACATGGTGTGTGTTTAATATTAGAAAAATGAATTAAAAGGCAAGGTCCAGTTTTTTTTTGTTATAAGTTCAAGTCCTTGGTCGGAGAATGTTAAAAAAAATTGTGAGAGAGGTTTATACAAAAGGAATATAATTTGTCTAACACTGACCAATGGATGAGAAAATTACAAGCGAAAATACATCACAGAAGTTCAACGTGAAAACAGCAGGAAATTCAACTACTATACTGAATGAATTTCAGATGAAAAACTTTTAAAACCACCGCGAGTATGAAAAAATGGTCAACACGGGAAAGTTGTGTGTTTACAGCAGCTTTCCATCGGTATATCACTTGCTCAATTCCGGAGAGTAGATTGAGAGCTACGAGCGAAAAAAGCACGTGAAAAATAGAGTGAAGTTTAAGTACGCATGCCGAGAAGTTCAAGTTCTTCACGCGGTGCATTTTCAAAGAATCTATTTCGCGATAAAGGTAGAACAAATGATCTCGCCATTTTCAAAATTACTTGTAAACGCCTAGGAATTAGAGAAAACCATCAACATGAAAATGTTCCGCATTTTCCATAGTTTTTCAACGGCATATTATTTGCCCCATTCCGATAAATTTTGTAGAAATTACGGCGAAAACACGTTTTTAGCCTATTTCAAAATTGACTTAAAACCGTAAAGAACTCAGAGAAACAATACATACCAAAAAGTTTCGCATTTGTTCAATCTTTCCAACGCCACATCATTTGCTGCATTTGGAGATACGGCTAAAAAATTAACTCAGAAATACGAACTCGGTGGAACTTATACCATTTTCTAAGTTACTTTTAATCCGTTCAAAATTAGAAAAAACTTTCAAAATGTGGAAGTAGCGCATTTTCATAAAATTTCCAATGCCATATCATTTGCCTCAATTGGATTAGTCATTTAGAAGTGGCATCGAAAATACGAACTCGGCTGTTCGATTTGCAAAAATTTCGTTTTTCCAAATTACTCTTTAACCATAGGGAATTACAGAAAACTTTCAACATGTGGAAGGAGCGGTTTTGCAACAGCTTTCCAACGCAATATTATTTGTCTCATTCCGATAAACAGTTTAGAAATGCGATCAAAAATACAATTCATGTTTTTTGTATGAAGAAAAAATGATTTTCAAAACTGCTCCTAAACCGCTTACATTTTGCCAAAAAATTAATTTGGGTCATGATACTCGTGTCCATAGCTTTCCAACGGTATATCGCACGCCCCATTTGGGCAATGTTGGCGGAAGTTCAACCTAGCACCGGGGGAAGTTCAGGTCGAACAACTCACACAGTAAAATTGGAAAAAAAACGCAAGTTCATCACGACCTGAGAGCAAAATCCGCCAACGAGCGAGATTCCTATTTAAAACAGGCATTTAGTTGCTAAAAACCGTTTCTATATTACACTTACATCATATAGAACACGACTAAGCAAAATAATTCGCGCGGGGAGACACGCTTGTGAAGATAGCCCGAAGGTCGGGTTCCTACTAAGGGAAGCTCAGGCGTGTAACTCAGGAAGTTCATGTTGTGATCAGAATAATATTATGATCCCGTGATCAGAATAATGTTTTAGAGCGTAGATTCACTCCGTTTGCCTTGTATGTAGTCCATATTAGAATCTCTGAAAGGAGGGCGTATATTCAGGAACGGAGGGAGTAGTTGTTAGCCAACAAGAGTAACATGAACTTTACTGGTCCAGAAGTTCAGGCTAGGACCACTAAGAGCAACTCTAGCAGACCTCGCATCCTGCCCCGACCCGTAAAATAACCACCAAAATGCGGGTCAGAGCGAAAAAACCAGCCCGATCAAACCCCGCATCCCGCCCCAGCCCGCAAATTTTTTTGAGGAGCGCGGCAAAATCCCGACCCCAACCTGGGAAGACGCGGGTTTCCCCCGCGTGGCAGCGATGCTCTGCATATAAGTGAAAGCGGTTGGTGGGGGACATTTCATCCCGCGCTTTCCCCCACCAACCACCTCTCCTCTCCCCCTCGCGTCGCCGGCGGCCGTTGCGCAAGATTCCGGCGAAAGCAGCCGGCAGGAGCACGCCGAAAGTCCGCCACGCACACAAGGCCTCCCCTCCCTTCCCCCCTGCGTCGGCGGGCCGCCGGATTTGCGGATCTGTGGCACTTCATCGCGGGCCGCCGGATTTGGCTTTTTCCGGCCGCCGGCTGCTGCCCTAAGCGATGGAGTGGGTCGGGGAGCCTCTCCCGCAGCCCAGGCAAGGGCGCATCGCCGCATGCAGGTACGGGTTCGTCCGCCCGCCGCCGCCGAAGGTTTGCGGGCATGGATTCGTTCAGCCGTCCACCAGGCTCGGCGCTCGTGAGTGTCTTTATGGCTTGCCGATGCCGCTCATACAGTGCGACGACTGCACGCGAAAAGTGTTGCGGCTCACTTCGGGCACGTCGAAGCACCCCGGATGGGTGTTCTTCAAATGCGAAAACGACGAGGTACGTACACTTGCGGTAACTCATTTGATAGCTCATTCTTTAGTTCAGTTACGGTAGCTCACTTCGAGCTTGCTCATTCTTTTGTGTAGGATGATGGATGCTCATTTTGGTTTTGGGAAGGCCAATACATTGATTTATTGATAGAAAGAAACTTAATAGATGTTGGTGCACTCCTTAGTACAATCGAAGGCAATGATGCGGTTGCATGTGTAGCTAGAGGGGAAGCAAAGTCTACTTCTTTCGAACCAAAGATGAAGAAAGAAGAATGCAAAATCAAGAATCCGCAGATCAAACAGTGAATGCATGAAGAAGATATTAGTCCAACTTGTGAGAGCAGTTGTGGAAGTTGGAAATCTTCTTAAATGCATACTTGTGGTTCTTGTTTTTTTTGGTTTTGCTATTCTAGCAAAGATTTGGTGATGTCTTTTGTATCTAATGTTGTTGCAAAAGCAAAGAAATGCATTGTGCTAGCTCAACTTAAGTTGCAAATTTAAGTTTTACGGGCCGGAAGGAGCTGCGCCAGAAGATCAGACGCCGCAAAGCCGACCCGTAAAAAAGCATATTCGAAAAATATCTTTTTTTATGGGTCCATTATGCGGGGTCTGCAACTGTGGCCGGCCGCGCCGACCCGCAAAGGCGTTTTTGCGCAAACTGCAAACACATTTTGCAGGCCGGGGGGACGCGGGATCTGCTAGAGTTGCTCTAAGGGAGTAACACTGAAACCAATTCTGAGCATCTCAAGCATCCAGCAGAATCAAATGGAAAACGTATCATTATTCATGACAAGAACATGGTACAGAGTCTCAGTTTTGCAAATAATGCAACATACAGCTCAAATGCTGATAGAGATATACTCGTCAGGACTTGGCATCACTCCCGAGTCAGGAGAGGCAGGTGACCGATACAGGAGCAAATTACTCTTTTGTGTGTAAATGGGAGCTCCAACATAAAATGGCGATGCTCTTCTAGACCACCGGTATCACCCAGGGCAGTTCCCATCAATGGCGGCTCAGCAAAAAAGAATGAGCGCACATTGAGGGAATGAATGAATGGATGGATATCTACCGTAAACCTATGATGTACATGGCTAGAGTGTATCCACTTCAGTTAATTCTCAGTCAATCGTACACTTGTGTGCGGAGTAGCAAGAGTAGAAGGGTTTCTGCTGTTTTACCCAATGATATCTGATTTGTACATGGCTAGAGTGTATCCACTTCAGTTAGTTCTCAGTCGATCGTATACTTGTGTGCGGAGTAGCAAGAGTAGAAGGGTTTCTGCTGTTTTACCCAATGATATCTGATTTGGCCGCACGCCGTGAGCATCTAGTCCTCTTCGAGAGGCAGCAAGCACAGCCTTCAAGGAGCTCAAGATCCTCATCACAGGTCAGGATAGAAGCCAGCTCTGGGTTTTCCAGCAACATCTTGGAGGTCAGAAAACCAGCAATAGTCCATGTCTGATATGACCGTGACTGCTTCCCAATGAATCTTCCAGACCGGGTGTCATAGTATTCTGGCCACTTGTCAGCTGAGAGCTTCTCCTCAGCCACTGCAATGGCCCTACGGGCCAACTCTGGTCTTCCCATTTTGATGCAGGCCAGTGTAAACTATAAGCAGCAACAATGGTTGGTCACTGATAATTTATAAGCATATAAGGCTACAAGAATTTTGGAGAAGTGCATTGATATATACATACCTGCCACAGTAGGGTTGGCCAAGATCCACCATTATGATATGACCATGGGCTGCACTTGCACAACATAGTTAGATGTCAAATAACTGTGGTGTTATGTTTAGAGAGCAGATGTTAAGTCTTCGAAAATAGAATAGGACACACCATAAAGATATGCTGCCACCAAAAGAAAGAGAAACACAGAATAAAATATCAGTTTTATCAGCGCGATGACTCACGTGTTCTTAGGGTCACTGCCTGTAATAATGCGCCATTCATCATATTCCATTGCAGGGTAACAGATCTTGACGGGCATATTTGCTACAAGATCATCCCATTTCTCTTCAATAAGGCTAAGTATTCCCTCGGCTTGTGTTGGAGTAGTTAGAGATGAAGATATGGCCCAAAGGTTGCCAAGTGAGAAGAACCTAAAATCCATGTGAGCTGGCTGCAGATTCCCAATAAGATAACCCCCTTTCTCAGGAATCCAATCAACAAGCCAGGAAGGAATTTGCTCGGGATAAATGTTAAATTTGTTAGTTGCGTCATGTGAGTATTCTTCTGTCTTGTATCTGTAGATCTCGTTTATCTTATTCATATCGACCCAGTAGTACTCCCTAATGTGAAAAGACAATGCACTGAGCCTGTTGTTGATGGCTCGGAGGAGGTGTTTTGAGCCTTCGTTCATAACAATCATTTCCCTTGAGCATCTCAGAGCAGAATAGAACAAAGCCTGAAAACAGGCCAAGCCTCATAAGTAAAGGGATTCTCTCTACTAACGACATGTTAGATAATACAGGTTTAAAGTAGCAGCATCATGTTCTTTCAAAATAGTATTGCATTCAGTAACACATTAGTTGCTTCATTGCAGCAGGCTAAAAGTCATAAGTCATTCTACCATTTAAGAACAGCATCAGTACCTACATGTAGACTTAGACTATTGAGATAATACAGTTGTTCAGGGAAGACCACACTGCAGAATTGAGTCTAAATTTCAGCTTACTTGAATCTCAAGAGGATGCCCGTGTATCCCCATCCTCCTGTCTATCATGCATGATCCGTCTGTGACCAGTAAAGTGGGGAACATGTCAAACCCATCAGACAAACACAAACTCAAGATCAGCTTAATCCCGGTTTGCACATCCACTCTTTCTTGCAATGAATAGTCTCCTGTAATCTTGCAGTATGCTCTCAGTAAGATAATCCACCAAAGTCCTGCAAATGGTTAGGTTAGATTAGGTTAAAGCTGCAGGACAGACATTTCACAATTGTTACAGATTAATATCAGTATGGCTGCATGAAAGAGAGGGGGGTCGATATACCAGAATCAACTGGAGCTACACGGCCAATAGCTGATTCACCAAAGTCAGGATCCAGAATCTCCTCAAATGCTTCATTGTTTTCATCAAGTGGAATGGTCCTAATCTTAAAACTAGCTGGCATCAAGCCTTGCCCAGGGCTGTAACAGTCAACAGTTTTCTCCCAGCTCTGACCATCAGATAAATGATGTACATCACTGAATAAAGATTCAAATTGATTGAAGTGCTAGATAAGAAGCTTCTGTTTACAGACATTAACTAGTAAGCCATTTTATTAAGTTTTCAGGGAAATTGTCACAAAAGATTTAAGTTATCATATTTTTGCCATCTGATCTAGCTTTCAGAAACTTCTACAAGCATATTTGGTTACATCACTGGTGGTATTGCTCACAGATGCCTAGAATAGGTTGAATTCGGCAGTAGATGTCTTTATAAGTTATGATATTGAGATTTGGCAAAGGATTTCCAAAGCATAATCCATCTGATAAATCACTCAACCGTAAACAGGATACCGCATATGGTTCATGTTGATAACTACTACCAATAAGTTTCCAAACTCTCTTCGAAGACAATATGTACGGAAGAGACATGTTAGCCGTCAAAAGGTAAATCTTATCTTTGTCTCGTCCACAGAATACAAGCCCATACAGAACAAGAATTCATCACAAAACTACAAAACCACATGCTGCAAGCGAACTCATTACAGAGGGAGAGGGTAATTACGATCTTTAAAGCCAGTAAAAAATCTCATATATATTCTAACCCTGCATACGAATTCGCTGATCTCTTATCCCAATTAGCACACACCGTGCACGCAAATAATACTAGTCACAGCGCTCTAATTATTTCGAATAAAAAAATAGCTCAACGAAATGATCCGGATCCGGATCCCAATATGCACAGACGCTCACCTGCAGCTGCAGGGTGTGGAGGAGGAAATTGCGGACGATCTCGGTCTCCCCGCGCATGAGGAAGGCAAGAGCGGAGGGCACAAAGTCCCTGATGAAGACCTGATCGTAGTTAAGCATCTCCGTACACTCGGGGTCCTCCGCCGCCACCGTGCCGACCGGCTCGCCGCAGTAGCTCACCACAGCCCTCCTCAGTAGCCTCCATGCCTCCCTCTCCGTCTCCGTCTCCTCTCTCACCGGTGAAGCAGACGCCGGGCGAAAATCAGCCGGCGGCGCCGGGTCCTCCACAGGCGGGGTCTCCGGAGGGAAGGAGCCCGGGAAGAGCACGCGGTCGAAGAAGGGGAGGTTGCCAGCGACGGCGGAACGGGGATCGGAGGTTACGGGGGTGGGGGTGGGGGTGGTGCTCGGGTCGGATTGCGAGGTATGCGACGCCGCCGACACGAGGAACGGGAGGCGTCGGCCGTGGTGATGGTGTTGCGGGTGGGGGCATCTTGGGAAGAGCCGGATCACAGAGGCCTTCGCGGCCGCGGCTGAGGCGGAGGTGAGGAGGCGCTGGCGGCATGGCCTCACGGCGGCGGCGAGCCCCATGGTGGTTTGACCATTCATATTGTAGCTCCGGCGAAAGTCACACGCGAGATGCTGGGGGCTACGCGTAAAAGGGCACAAGAGTGGGAAAGCTTTTCCAAATATGTGGTCGGTCAGGGGCTGATTGGAAAACTGCAGCGTTCCGTGCCGTTTGGTTTTTGGTGTGGCCGTGTGGGTGGGGGGTAGCGTAAATGGAAGGGCGGAGGTGACCTTTATAAACTGAGAAGGGGTAGGCTGGGACCCACCCGGTTTTAAAGTGCACGCTTTAAACGATTGTTTTTCCTCCGTCTCTCCTTTTGGCCTTTTGGATGAGGTTCTTTTCTTTATTGCCCTTTGGACACCCTGAGGGTTTTTTTTTCTCTAATTTTTGTTGCATCTTGCTTATATATACACAAACCCCAATGCCATTCATTAATTACCTACTTCCTCCAATTTGAAGTAAAACCATGTCAAGTATTTTTTTTAACAGAGACATGAGTCCAGTCATTCCTCAATTGATGGTCGTATAATCACATCATTAACGAAAACCATCTCAATTCTTAATTCATGCCCGAACATGAGGCTTCTCAGCTCATTTTGAACGATGGTCGTTCGATATGTGGGTCCAGTTTGAGGTGGCGTGATCCTGGCCATTCGGTTGCTCCGGTTCTGATTCGTTTTCGTCCTCCTCTCGTTCACGCTCGTCGCTTACAGGTGGGTCTACGCGCGGCCCTTCCTCTCTATGGGTGCACGCATTTGTGAGGGT